TAATTGCTTACAAATTATATTATTGAAACTTTTATGAAATTATTTTAATGGAAATTATAAATTAATAAAAATAAAAGATGGAATTTGTCTAATGGAAATTAAAAAAAAAATTGAAATGAAAGATAATAATATAATATAGAAGAAAGAGAAGATGGTGGAGATCCCTATTTTGGGACAACCAGTGAATAGTCGCTGGGACCAAGCATCACAAGTTGTTATTTGTTAATAGCAGTTAAAAGTAGTCCACCTTTGTGGTTCTGTGCATGAGAGAACAAAACCAGCTAAGGCATAGTCCCTTTTAACAACTTGATTGTTGACCGTATTAATATATTGTAAAAGACCAATCTTTTCATTTTTGGATTTGGTAAAACGAATAAAAGTCCCATTTTTTCTCTCAAGAAAAGGCATAGAGTAATCAATCAGCTTTGATAGAGATGAAATTTGGGAAAGAATATGCATCCCAAATGGTCCATGAATGGCAAGAAGCTTACATGGATTATAATTCTCTTAAGAATGAGTTGAAAAAAATCTTGAAATTCAAAAAGAAGAATGCACCATTGCCACAAGTTGCAGTCACCCCAAAAGGCTCCTTAAGGAAAAGACTAACAATGTACAGAGCATTTAGTGGACTACACAACAGTTTCACAGGTTCTCCAGGGAAAAATAATGAAGATGAAGTGACAGTAGTGAATTCAGAAGGTGACTTTGAAACCACTTTCTTTGTGTCTTGTGAAGAAGGTGGAGAATGTGAGCTGGTTTTCTTTAGGAGATTGGATGATGAATTCAACAAGGTGCTAACTTTTTACCATGAAAAAGTAGGAGAAGTGATGGCTGAGGCTAACAAGTTGAGCATACAAATGGAAACACTTATTGCTCTAAGAATCAAGGTTGATAAGCCTTCAATTGGAATGCACACAACCCAAGTGATGGATCCTTCAACCAATGATAATAGTACCTTGTCTCCGGCATCAGTGGATCCTATTCATTTGACTAGTCCAAGTAAGTGCAGATACTTTGGCTATTATGTTCCTGTTCCATCTTTTTTTGGAAAATATTGGGGGGAGGGGGGAATTACCCCTGGCTATATTTTTATCCTTCGTTATATTTAGGGGTGGAGCAAGCATGCTATGTACGGGTTCAGTCGAATTCAATAACTTTGGTCTAAACCACGTATTTGTCTTAAAAAATCCTTAGTACAATATATTAATTTAGAATCCCTTAAATGACTTAAACGAACTATAATCCCAAACTCATAAACTTCAAGTTCTGGTTTCGCCTCTGGTTATATTTGGGGTTATTCATGTCGTAACAAAATCATTCCGCATTTGTTATTGAAAATAATGGAGCTTCAACCTTTAAGATAATGTAGAGTGACTTTAAACCATAGTCAAACGTAGATGTGTAGTATTTTGACACCTGAAATCCACTCTTTTTATGCTGGAACTTCGTTAAAGTCAAGAGAAAATACGAGACGGTTTGACATCCCAGCTGTTGGCACTTGCTTTATTGCTCCATTCAATGATTGCCCTTTAATTTGTTCGAATTCTTGTTTAACCTCAATGTAGATAGGCCAGAAATGGAGGCAATTCAAGAAGTGGAGATGAAAAATGAAGAAATTCTGGAAGAGGAAGCAACAAGAAGGGAAAGAGATAAAACAAAGATGAATCCCATGGGTTTTAGGCCTGCTCCACTAGAGATTTTGGACTATGTAAAAATCAATGTTGAACCCGAAACACCTCTCTCGACTTTAAGAAACTGCTGCATGACTTCAACATCAGAATTATCATTCAGCAAAGAAGAGCTCAGAAAAGCTGAAGAGCAAATGAGAAAGGCTTTTGTTGAGTTTTATCAAAAGCTTCGACTTCTAAAAAGCTACTGGTAATGGTGCATTTTTTCGCCCTCATAAATGAAGAATTATAGTATTGTTTTTGCCTTCAATTCAACTCATACTTAACTACTTAATGTGGCCAGTTTCTTAAATATGTTGGCATTTTCCAAGATCATGAAGAAGTATGATAAGGTACTACTACTACACTGAAGTAATAACTATTTCACAATAGAAAGTACTTTTGCCTTTTAACCTTGCAATTTATTGATACAGATCACCTCAAGGAAAGCTTCTAAATCATACTCAGATATGATTGGAAAATCTTATCTTGGTAGCTCGGATGAGGTAAATTTTCCTTCAGTTTCAAAAGTTGTTTCCCTCTCAGCATTATTCCACTTGCAACTATAGTTTTAACATCGCATTGATCTTTGCTTTTTTAGGTTTCTAAGCTCACAGAAAGCGTGGAGGTCACGTTCATAAATCATTTTGTCAATGGAAATCGAAGGAAAGGAATGAAAGTATTAAGACCACAAGCTAAAAGAGAAACGCATAGAGTAACATTTTTCATGGGTAATTATGCATCATTATTAGCATCAACTTCCTCTTCCTATGTAATCAGAGGTCAAAAGGAGGATTTAGGGTGGATTCTGCCGGTTCAACTGAACCATTGTTCAGTTTGAACTACGTAAACATATGCAAAATAAATTTGTAATTGTATACATATAATAAGATCATACTCATTTGAATCAACTAACTCTAGATCCTTGATCGCCTCTATCAGAGGTTACAAAAAGTTGGCTTAGTGCATCATAACCATAGTTTTTAGAGACATCTGGATTGACCTGTCATCTCACTTTCATCAGAATCATATGTTCATTTTAGTAGCTGATATACATTTTACCTATAGGTTTGTTCTCTGGCTGCTCAATAGCATTAGTGGCAGCTATTGCTGTATCAATACATTTAAGAAACCTTCTAGAGCACAAGGGTCGTGGGCAGTATATGGAAAACGTATTTCCACTGTACAGGTGAACTAATTAACCATCTGTCTTTTACTAAGTCGTATTGATTCTTCCCCTTGTGTTTCTAAAATTGTATCGTTGCAGCCTATTCGGATTCATTGTCCTCCATATGCTCATGTACGCGGGGAACATATACTACTGGAGGCGTTTTCGGGTCAATTATCCTTTCATATTTGGCTTCAAGCAAGGAACAGAGCTCAATTACAGACAAGTTCTCCTCCTTGCTTCTGGTGTTTCAGTACTTGCATTGGCTGCTGGACTCTTCCACCTGGATATGGACATGGACCCAAAAACACGAAGTTTTGAGACAGTGACTGAGCTGATCCCACTTGTCCTGGTGTTTGTAAGTCTAGAAAAACATTCTACAACTGATCTATACACATTGTTTCAAGTTACAAACCCCTAATGTTTGTAAATCTTTTTTTTCCAGATTCTGCTTCTAATAACTTTTTGTCCTCTGAACATCATATATCGTTCAAGCCGTTTCTTCCTTATAAGATGTTCCTGGCAGTGTCTATGTGCTCCCCTTTATAAGGTACCAACAGTTTGCGTGAGATATAGAGACGCGCATTAATATCACAGGAAGTACATAGATACTAAAATGTCTCACATCATTTTGTAGGTCACGCTACCAGATTTTTTCTTGGCAGATCAACTTACCAGCCAGGTTTGACACTAAGTTTTTTTTTAAATGTGAAACTTCAGTATTATACCAAAAGAGGATTCAAGAAGCTGATAATTCAGTCAGTGTAATGTGCAAATTTTGCATTACTTATAGGAAAGAACTATAATGTTCTCTTGCATTTCATTTTCAGGTTCAGGCAATTAGGAGTTTGCAATTCTATGTTTGCTACTATGGGTGGGGCAACTTCAGAACAAGATCAAATAAATGTCAAGAAAGCAATGTTTATCAAATCTTATACATAGTCGTTGCAATTATTCCCTTTTGGTCTCGGTTCATTCAGGTATTATAATTTTTGCACACAACAAATCATCATATTCCCATTTCCCACTATATATATCTTGACAGTTATTTAATATGGTGCTTCATGTGATTGCATGATATACAGTGCCTTCGCCGCTTATTTGAAGAGAAAGATTCGATGCAGGGGTTTAATAGCCTCAAATATTTGTCAACCATTGTTGCTCTTGTGATGAGGACACTTTATGATCAGAAGAGAGGAACCTTTTGGAGAGTAATGGCAGCATCAACATCAGGAATTACTACAGTTGCAAACACTTACTGGGACATTGTCATAGATTGGGGTCTATTGCAAAGGAATTCAAGAAACCATTGGTTGAGAGACAAACTACTTGTGCCACGCAAGATTGTCTACTTTGTTGCCATTGTAAGTGCAGAAGCAGGTTATATTATAAAGCTCTTCCGGTGAAAATTAAGTTTTTGATGATTGAACTCTAAATGCAGGTTCTTAACATTATTCTGAGACTAGTATGGATGCAGTTGGTTCTAGATTTTCAAGAACTACCGTTTCTGCACAAGAAAGCAATGGTTGCAATAGTTGCCTGTCTAGAGATCCTTCGTCGAGGCATGTGGAACTTTTTCAGGTGGAAAGCATTATCTATTTGAGTTTAACATATATTCAATGACAGTGTAAAGGAACTTTTACATTATCAAGCCATCTAAAAGATAACAACAACTAACTATCCATAATAGTGTAGCAGATATTTGATGAGTTAGCCAGCTACTTTGTGTATTTATTTGACATCTCGTAAAAGATAGTGTGCTTCTATCTAACAGTAGCTCTGCTGTTTTCATTGTTCAGGTTGGAAAATGAGCACTTGAATAACGTTGGGAAATATCGTGCCTCCAAGTCCCTACCACTGCCTTTCAACTACGACGAAGACAAGAGTCTATAGCTATGTTTAGCTGATACAAGTCAAAGGAACCCAGAGTACTCAAGAAAAAATTATTTTGTTTTCTTGGTTTCCCTTTTCTTGTTCAGTTCTTTGATTCATTCATCAGTGGTGCTTATAATATAGTTTAGTTTTGTTCACAAAAATGCTCTTTACGTTCTATATGAAAAATATGAAAACATAGCAGATGATCCACACAACTTCAAATCTATTGATCAAAATTTATGACACAAAGTCAGATTTACAAGTAGGACACATAATAAACACACCATTAATAGAAATGTAGTACGGATAACTATATTGCTCGAAATTTGACAAGGCTAACTTTGATGCTAATCATCTTCCGCTGAATGTATATCTTTAAAGGTTTTGCCCTCTAAAGTTCCAAACAAGAATTCTAGATAATCAACAAGCTTTTGTAATCCAAGAACTAAAAACGTCACGTTAGGGCTAAAGGTTACGGATGGAGCGAGCAATTTATTCCAGAACAGTCGTATACAATGAAGACGCAAACCATTTTATCTCTCTCAGATAACAACAAACCACTGAGCAAAGACCAATAAGCAAACTACAAAGGTGAATTCTATTCTGGTGGATGGGAATCCTCTTGATCTGTCTCTTTATCATTCTGAGAGGCAACCAACTGGTCTGAATCAGAGTTCTCTGCCGTTATAGCGCCCGTGCTATCATTATCTTGGTCACCAAAGATATATGAGAATGATAGTGGATTATATGTGGAGCTTGCCTTTTTCAGCCCCTGAATGGCTTTGATTGCGGCAAGTGTACTTCGATATATATCCACATTTTCTTCCCCAAGTGGCAATGCCAGAGAAATATTTGAAGCATAAGAAGTAGTTCCTCTGGTTGACCCTTCTGCAGTAGCATCTGATTCAACTACTTCTGCTTCCAAAGGAAATAGGACCTCGAGATTTTCCTCACACTCACGGACTAATCTATTTAGAGGCTCCGTTGTAAAGAAGGGTTGATCAAGAGCAAGTTGTGTGAAAGGAAGACGCAACAATCCCCCAGTTCGTTTATCAAACTTCTTCAAAATCTTAACAAGACCTAAGTGAACAAATCAATTTGTTTTAGAAGGCTGATGGTACCTACCTTAATAAAATTGAAAGAGACTCTACTTTAGGTTGTTATTCTGCAAAAACTAGAAATACGACACTTGAAACACAAAAGCCTGAGCAGTGATAACTAAAATGTATGCATAAAACAGTGTAAAAGCTACAGAACCTGCAAAATTTAGAGAGCTGTAATTTTTCAGAAGAACCATCTCCCCGTGTATGGCAACAAAGTCTCTACGTATCCCCATCATCTCATCACTAAATTCTCTGTCTTTTGCGAGAACTCCATCTCTACCACTCTTCTCCTTCACTCTTTCAATTCGCTCCTTCAATTCCTGGAAGAGAAGTAGATGAAATAGGTTTAATTCCCACAATAAAACAATTACAATTGATACCCACATATTTGAATATTTATTTATTTTTCCACTTTTGAATTTTGACGTGCTTATTGTTGGGCATATTTTCTCGAACCCATCCTTTCCAATCCCTGCCTCTTCACCATCGAGATCGAGAGAGAGAGAGAGAGAGAGAGAGAGAGAGAGAGAGAGAGAGAGAGAGAGAAACAAAAATACTACTACCTATTTTCCGTCCCCCTTCTGAAACCCCATTAGAGAGATTCAATCCAAGTCCAAAATAAAGAAATCCCCTTAATAAACTCAGACCGAAATACATTTCCTTATTCCTCATCTACTACCACAATTTTTTTCAAGCGGACACCGCAAGCGTCATCCTCCACAACATAACAATAAACCCAATTCCAAACTTCGAAACATCACGAAACCCCTTAAATCGACCATATTATTGCATTGCTACCTCCACAGAGAACCAGCAGTGCTATTATTGTTAGATTGGTGACCAATATGTTGTGCTGTCACAATCTAAAGCATACATGATGCAGGAACAAAAACGCAGAAACTATTATATAATTAAAAATTAGAAGTAATATTATGGTTCACCATTATTATTCATATCGGTGGTACTGTCACTTTAGTTGAGATCTTACAGTAATCTGTTATAGTGTTATCATAAGGGTTTTCTTTCCACTTAGCTTTTCATATTCCACCTTCTGTTAGGATTACTTTGCTTTATTTATTTCCTTTTAAGAAGCTCTTGATAGACAAAGAATTAGGACTCCTGTATAATTTAGGATTTGGGTTCTCGGATTTCTCTTTGATAGAGTAGATATTAACTTTGTAGTCATTCAACCTTTGTTATTAATAACATTATGCCATTTGGGGAAAAAACTTCTTAACACAATTTTATTTGTGATTTGATGGGCATAAAGGCCGGAAGAATGGGGCTATTACAATCATGTATAGGGTATTGGAAAGTAAAAGAATGAATCGTCAGCATGCTAATAGCACACATACATGCACATGTATAAATATCATGTATCTTTTTTATTTGGGTACGTGAATAAATATCATGTATCACATAACCCCTTAGTCCTTTCACCACCAAACAACCCAAATAAAAGGCTAAGGCAGATATCAATTTTCCACCCAAAGCGTGAAACAAATAAGAGTAACTGGGGAAATCAACTCCATCCTTCCAAAATGCATCCTATTCTGATTAATACAAAGAAAAAGGAAACAACTAAGCTCATTATGACATCGCACCAAAAGTCGTTGTCCAGACAAAACATAGCCTCAGCATGTGACAACTTGTAAAGTGCTAGCGTTATGGAAACTGAGAGACACAACTTAATCAAATTAAGGGGAAAAAGGGAGAGATTGACAAGCATTAGCTATAAGAGACTGAGACTGCAAACGAGGACAAAGGATAATTCGGTGAAAAATCAGTCCCAATTAATTGATGCTCATGCAAATGATAAAAGCCAGACTACAAGTCATAAATGTCTGGCGAATAGCTCATACTTTTCACCTTGAGTTCTTTTTATCTCTACGACGAGTGCTGCAATTTTAAATTTTAAATTTTAAATGTTTATCTGTCACCCTACAATAGTTTTATATAAAGCATAGAAGTTGAAAGATGCAGTTTTTAACTCAACAAGTTGTGCTCAACTTTAATGTATGGCAGCAAACTTGTGGATTTAAATTGCCAGTACAAGTATCCAAGGACCAACTAGTGTATCAAAAAGAATCTGCTAGACTGCAACTAGCATTGACTCTTAGCATGACCCGTCACTGACTTTTAATATGGGTTTAAGAACTGATAGCGACAAGCCATTGACAAATGTAAGCAACTTGACCATAAATTTAAGCCATCAAACCATTGGTCGACTTAGCTATTAATTAACCATGGTGATTCCTAAAGTTGCTAGTATATTCATGTGTCAATTGTTTCGAGTATATTGAACTTTACAAAATAGAAGCATTGGCAACACCTAAAGAAGCAAACTTCAGAATGTAGACAGCACCATCCCATTGTGATTGAATTGAATTCATAAGCAAGTTCAAATTGTATATTCAATATTTTGGTGTCTATCCTGCTTAATCCACTACTTGTGCCCACCTGAGACCCATGCTTATTAACAAACAAAAATTACAGTTGAAAATCGCACAATGAACAGGCAGTTGTGGGACAAGAGAAAATAAACCTCCGGTCCCTTGCCAAACTGGGCAATATCATACAACGATGAAACTAACTGGCAGAGGCAAATCCAAGATTTGAAGTTTATAGGTTCTTACCATGACTCGGGTTAATATATGATAATAATTGGGTTCAAAATCAAATATGTAGAGATATTTGGTTGAGTGTACTGCTGAACCTCCTAATCATGCTTGGTGTCTTGGGATCGAATCCCAGCTCTTGCTATACCCCCTCACGATAGGGTTAAGGTCTGGGGGGAGGGGTAGTAGTGTGAGAGCTGGGAACCATATGAGTGGCTCCATCAAGTAATTCACCGGTTCATTCTTAGAATTTCGTGTCTTTGGCATTGAATGAATACTTTAACATTTGGGACTACAGTCATTTTCTGAACAATCTGGTTGTGCAAGTTCATAATTCCAGACTTCTTGTGGTAATTGATACTAAACCAGCGGCAATAAAGTGATCTACCTTTTTTTTATTTGCCCAAAGAAATGCTTTTGTCCAAAATCGATAACAATTTTTCAAACATGTTACTTTAAGCATTAGAATGATATGCACCTGAATAGAGTAGAATGATATAGATGATTCGTACACCTGATTTGAAAGAAAGGCGTGGTTTGATCGATGGATTGACTGGCTGATTGTATGCTATTAACTACATAAATCAAGGTAGGTCTTGTTGATTAAGCACTCAAGGATGTGGCCAAGGTCAAAAAGTGAGTGAAAACTTTGGGGATCAGGGTTCATATCCTAGCAAAGACAAAAAAGACTAGGTGATTTCTTCCCATTAACCAAAGTCTTATCGGATAGAGCTTACCATACCTATGATGTTAGGAGGTAGCAGGTATTCGGTAGAATTGAGGTGCGCACGGATTGCTTTGGAGTTTGGACACCACTGTTATAACACAAAGAAAAGGTAGGTCGTGTTGACTAAAACAGGAGTGTATAATTTAAGACATGTAGGGCCATTTCCTGAAAAACAGTTAAACAAATTGGAAAGGCACCTAGGTGGAATATGCCATCAATATATTCTTATGCTGCAGCTTAACTAAGAATATTCCCCAGGTAGCTCCAACGATACCTTCTCCCTACCCCACTAATTTATTTGTTTCTCCAATTATATATCTCCTCACTTGCTGCAGCTATCTATGGCAAGAAACGGACTATTAACTTCTTGCCACCCCTCTTAAGCTTTTTATGATCTCATTTGCATCTATTTTTCTTTTTTCTACTTCAAATAATGTCATTAATTTTCCATAATTGCAATTGATTGATTGGCCCATGCCTTTTATCTTGTAGCAGCAGATGAAACCTAAAAGATAGTGATCCGTCCAAATTTATCATAGTGTTGGCCCACCTTAAACTCCATTGTAACAAGTAATCCCCTACTTGACACCTAATCATCCTTCACATTTCATGATCCATCAAAAGTTAAAATTTAAACTCAATTATGGAAATTAAAACGCAAGTTGGGATAATCAGCAGTAAAATAAACAATTCCTTCGGAATTTAAAGTGGTCACGGTAAATAGTAAATATCACCTAATGCCAGCGATTACAGGATTAATGCCGTAAATCAAAAGGTTAAAAAGATGAATTCAATTCAAAAGAAATACTAAGAATTTGGGCCGAGTAGAGCACAAAATAGAGGATTCATATAGCCGATCTCAATTATTAATTGATTGACATACTAACATATGTATACAGTAATTCAGAAGAAAAACAAATTAACCTGGAAGCGAATAATAAATTCCTCCTCTTTATCGACGTAAAAATCGTTGAATTTGTCGAGTTCCTCATTCAGAATTCTAACGAACCAGTCCTGCAAGTGCGGCGGAGGCGGCGGAGGAAGAGGAGGGGGATTGTCACCGCCGGTGGGAAGATTATCGCCGGTAGCCGGGATAGAACGGAGGTGGTGCTTGAGAAGCTTCTTCAAGGGCTTGTAACACAAATACTTGTCCCTCCATTCGGGTAGGGTTTCTTCTAAATGCGTTGTAAATTCTTTCCCGAATTTCATAACAAGATTGATCACTCAGTTTTTTCTCAAACACAAAACAATCAATTTCACTTTGTTGGAATTAAACAACTTGATGGAATAATTTTATTGGGAATAATCTGATGTGATCATGTGATGAAAGAATAAAAGACGTTACGAATTTTTTATTGAAAGATACAAAGGGGATAGTAGTAGTGGTAAACGCAGTGATTATATTTTTGGCTTTTTTTTATTTTCTTTTTGGATTTTAAGAATATAATCCAATAAAGATAACGATGAATGATACCCAGATGCGAGAAATAGTAAAAATTTTGTTTATTCCTTAGGCAAGTTGCAGGCTTTAATGGAGTTAGGAATCTTTTTTTTTAGCAAACTAAAATTAGTGTTCGAAAATTAAATTAAAAAAAAAGGAAAAAAGAAGCATCTGAGTATTCAAAAGGAAACCAAAAGGCAGAATGCCAGATGCTTCGTGTTGGAAAGTCAACTTGGGAATTTCGTACTGGCTTTTTATGTGCATGAAAGAATATTCATTGTATTCAAATGGAGATTCAATTCAAGAACTGTTCTGGCAGTTTAGCTGTGTTTTGTCCTCACAAACGAGGCAACCCACGTTTCTGTTTTCGCTACATCATTTACGGGTATCATCACTTTTAGCTCGCGTTAGAGAATATATATATATTATATATATATATATATATATTATATATATATATATATATATATATATATATATATATATATATTCTG